CTGTGGGTGGCCTCGGGGGGGTCTCGGTTTCCTCCCCCGGCCCGCTCGTGCAGGGCTTTGGGGGGAGCCTCGCCCCGCAAAGACGGGGCAGATCCTCCACGTTTCTCACAGAGCTGGGTTTCCCATTCCGTGCCCCGCCAACAGCTGCCATGGGATCGCAGCAGCCCCTGGGGGATTCCAGGCCTCCCCCGTGGGACCGGGAGCGGGCTGAGCCCCATGTGCTCCCCGCTGGGCTGGAAACTGCAGCCGGTTCCCCCGGGGCAGGGCCTGGGGCACACGGACACCCGGGAAGGGGAGTTTACAGCTACAGCGGGGTCCCGAGGGTGTCCTGGGGGGCACGCAGGCGGTGTGTGGTGGCTGACGGCCTTCGCGTCCCGGTGGTTCAATGGTGGAGGCCTTCGGGGCTGGGTACAGGGAATCTGAGCAGCCGGGCAGAGGGTCCAGCCCTGAGGGGCAGCGTGGGGGGGATGCAGAGGGGGTCTTTGGTTCAGGGGCTCCAAACGCGGCTCCTTTCATGTGGTTCTGGCAGCTCCGCATCTGGGCATTACGGAGCGGGTACCGACTTGCTTGTGTGATTAAGGAGAGGTAATGAGGGACTGACAGGCTGTCAGGGCTGAGCTGGATCCACCCAGAACCTTCTCCAGATGCACCATCTGCATAATTGGCTCTTGTGCGAGCGTCGGTGAAACCCCAGTCATATACATTAATGTAAACCAGCCCTCGTCATTCATTTTCTCTGTAGTTTGCTCAGCATTTCTCAAGCTTTAGTACCAAATCTGGTTTCCTATTTAGATTTTTTTTTTAAGCACTTTATTTTGTGTCCATTTGCACAATGTTAGTAGATAGGGCTGAAGCTTTCACATATTTTTTGTGAAGGCAAAGAACCATGGTGGGTTATAACCCTGGTTGCCATACTTAAATGCCCCATAACTCAGGATTTCCTGCTCTGTATTTTGTTGTACAGTTTTAAATGTTTGTTACAAACCTTTTGCTTCTTGGGAAACGGGGCACCTCTGCACCCCC